AAACATTCACATTTAGCATCTATTTATGCTTAGACTTTTTCATCTGCATGTCATCAAGAAATGATACAATTATGATTTGTCAGTCTGCCTTGACTGTGGCAAAAAATTGATACATACTTTTTCTAGTTTTATAATTTATTTTAAGAAAAAATTTTATTTTTGCCACCTTCACATTTCTATAATAGTCATATGGTACTGGGCAAGATTTTTTAAAATAGATTCTTTAGAATTTGCTTAGGAAATTTTTGTTTCCCTCCAACACAATCTTTTCACAGACTTTCAAGATCATAGAAAACACAGAGTCAAAGAAGACACAATAATATACCATTGAAATATGATATTTTTAAAAAAATTGGAAGGTCAAAGAACTTTTCAAGATCCCTTTAATATAAGTGTGTTTCTCACTTGTTAATCACTACCAGGAAACATAACAAGCATTAAGAGATGCAAATGGACTGCAACAAAATCTGTGGCAGACTGACTACAGTTTCACTAGTATGTGAATAGGGTTTTGTAGCTGAAAATTTACTCTATCCATCAGCGATATATTTTTTGCCAAGAATTAACAAGAGGCTGCATGCATGTAAAAATATGCACCACACTTATTTGATGGTCTTTTGATTCTTTTGTAGCATTTGTAGGGTTTACCAGCTACAAACATTGCAATCTTTCAATGTTAACAAACTTGTTCCAACTACATTAATGCTGATATTCACAACTCTGTACAAATTTCCCTATTTCATAATTTACTAATTTGCGCAGATAATCTGATCAAGGTATTTTTCATTTTCTAAGGGCTAACCAGAAAGTGAGTGATGTACCATACACATCACTGTCACTAATACTGAAAAACATTTCTTACTGAGCTTACATCCACTGTAAATGTTCAGCTAGTCTCACTGAGTGCCAATCAGTGCAATTATTGCCCACATGAAGAAATTCAATGAAAAACTGATTCATACACATTTATGAAGGTGTTATTTCAACAGGTTGAGCCACCATGTATGCCTTATACACACATGTATCCTCTTATAATTTATGCAAAAATTCAAAGAAGCTCTGCCTGATATGGTTAAAACATATTTGAGAAAGAAGCTTATTTAGCACCATACTGTTGATTAAAAGAATGGCAGTTATTTAGCAAACTCTAACATTCTCATAAACGTTTGGCTTTGTAAAGGCAAATATTTTTTTCTGCAATTTTATGACCCCTCAATCTGAATCATGAATATAGTCATATATCAAGAGAGAACTAGCTTTGTCATCATGTTGTCAAAGTAGGCAAAACAAATATATTCAAGTGAATATATGATAAAGTAATAAAATCTCAATTTGCCATAAGACACTTTCTTATAGTAATTCATTGAAAGTTTATTGCAAATATAAATTTTTAAATAATTTTTGCAAAATCTGTAAATATTTAATAGAGCTAATATCATTTATACAAAAGTAGTCATATTTTTGAAAGCACATATGTCTACATCAAGCCTTTACACATACACACATGTCTATGTTGAGAGAGAGAGACAAAAGTACACATACTGTATATATTTACCTACATTAAACAACAGCAAATGAATTTGGTCTCTATATAAACCACATAACTGCATCAAAACTTTCAGCTTTTCATTTGATTCAAGAAATACATACGTCCTTGAAAATTCATCATTTTAGATTAGGTAGATAAAATTATGTGATATGACATGTTCAGATTGTATTTTTCTGAAAAGTTTTCTGTAGAGATGAAAATAACAAAATACAGTTAGCTTTCGCATGAATGGAATTCATGTATTAACAAATACAAGAGACATAAAAATTATCAGTTATGAAATATGGCAGCATTTGAGTTGAAAGCAAAAGAGCTTTTCTTTTTTTTCTTTAATGAAATTTCTCAACATATAGAATATCAAGCTCTTCCTGTACAAAGATAAAAGAATGTTATTCCTTAGTGGGATCTAAAGAAAGATAACACTTGATTCCAGAGATTTTTCAGAAATCACAAGTAGTGATGTCACAAATTCTTTAAGCAAAAATTCTGCATATAACTGAGAAGTTAAAGGCTGTGGAATTACAAGTTGGATCAGTGAGACAGTTAAATTCAGCAGTTGCAATATGTGTTTACTTTAAGAAGTGGTCTAAATCATAGCCTTTTTTATCATGAAACAAAACTGCCATACTTCACAGTTAGCATTAAATAAATTGAATACTTTTGCCTACAAATAAGATCTGTTCATTGCAGATTAAAGTGAAACAGAGTGAATATTTAATTTGAATAATATCTTTAATTAAAACTTAATATTTAATTTAATTAAAAAATATTAGAATAATATTTGAAGTGTAGAAGTTTCTGAAGGTAGATAGAAAAAAAGTTCTTTGAGAAATGTTTTAAAGCAACAATATACTGAGTGTAACAGCAAAATTGTTCAAATCATGTTACAGCATAATCATCCATCACACAAAATTTTTACATCTGAATAAACACTAAACTGATTTTCTTTTTTCCAGAAGACATTTAGCTATCTTGATACCATTTGTCATAACAATAACTGAAAATTTCTTTGAGTTATTTAACTAGAAAGGGAACAAGTTAAAATTGTTTTATGTCAACCACACTGTCTTCTCAACTGAGCAATGATGAGAGGAAAAAAATTTTTCGGTCTTCAGTAATGGTACCACCATTCATACTGTTATATAATGTACCTATGAATACAAATGGGTATATCCCAATCCCCATAAATACACTGGACACTATGGTGAGTGGGGGTAATATGCTGTCTAAGTAGTCCACCGCTAGCAGTGGTTTATGTACTTCATGCTGTGGATGAGTATTGTATTTTGTTGATGTTATAAAGATTAACATTTCATTTTCAACCTGCATTTTGGTTATTCCTCATTCAGTAACCCTTTCTAGGTTACAACACATATACAGGCTTTCATTTTCAAAGTATTTTCAATGAATAAGTTTAAAAAAGAAGGAACAGTAGAGAGGAAAACTGGATCAGGAGTTTACAACAGCAAGTGGGATCAGCAGTTCAACTTAGAGCTAAAGAGATCAATTAGAAAAGATCCAACTCAATTCATAAGACGTTTGGCACATAAGAGAGGATTTTCACCTATGACAGTCCAAAGAGCAGTGAAAAAAACTTGAAAATGAAATTGTACATGAAACATGTGAGGTACCTTGTTACTCCAGGCTAGAAGCTTAGAGGGCAAAGATCATATTTGGAAAATGATCCTGGAATTATATATATATATATATATATATATATATTTGAACTTTATTTCAATCCCTCATGAGATTCCGATCCTTAGCTATGATTAATTAATGATGAAAAAATCATTCTTGTTTATGATCGATTTCATTACAATTCTTCTCTTAAGCTTAGATATTAATTATACATTCTTATTGCTCAAAGTAGAGTGCAATAGTGTTATAATAACCTCAGAGAATTCCAGTTAGATATCTTTAATCACTTCTAAGAGACAATGGTTCAAATCTTAATCTAACATTTGGACAATTTTGCTGTTACACCTGGTATATATTTCATGACAATTGACTTGAATATGTTAGCAAATACAGAAAGACTAATACTGCTAACTGAACTGGTAAAAAAAAACTCACCTACATTACTTCTTGCAAGTTCTGGTGGTAAAAATAAAACTAAAGGCTAAAAAAATACTTATTTTCATATACTCTATTAAGAAAGGCAATATTTAATTTTAAATCTGATTTAAAAAATTTTCTTATCCAAACGAAGAAAACTGATGTCATTACTAGATGATTATCTCCAATTATTATGATGTATTGATATATGCATGAAATATTATTGTTTTTATAGTTGGCTTTGCCAAAATTGTGTTTCCTATTTCAACCATGTCTGTTCATTTTTCACTCCAACAGTCTGCAATCTGTTTTAATATTGTAACCCTGAGCCATGATTTACAAACAAACATTCTTTTCTTTGCTGAATTCATGACACTGGTTATCTGTTGTCTCAGACATGCAGCCAGTTTAAAATTATTTTGTTTTTGTTCAAGTGCATAGAACAAAATGTTCATCTACCCACCCACATTGGTCAGTCAATTCAAGGGTTATTTTAGTGCAGGCTGCCAAAGGTTTTGGCAAATGCTACAAAGACAAGAATAACAGTCCAAATATATCAGAATGAAGTACTAATAATACCTTGTCTCATAAATATTCTCTCATAACTTGGATACGTATTTAATATTTACACACACATACTCATATGAATATGTATGAACCTATATATTTGTGTCGGAGTTACCTCCTCCTTCTGTCCTTGAACCAGCAGAGGAACAGGTCTTTTCGACCTTGACCTCTCATTCATACTCCTCACACACTGATAACACGTCAGAGGGACTAGCAAATCCCCTTTTTTAGTTAGGCTATATTACAAACCTAGATGTAATATACATCTAGTCATTTTTAGACCATAGTTATCTTTGGCTAACCTTGTAGTATTTTTTTATAGAGACTTTTCGGTTAGCTTAGCCAATTTCTCTTGCTGGTCCCCCTCGACACAAGACAGTGATTTCTCCCAAGCTTTGGGGAGGCTGTCGGCGGCCGCAACGGTCGTCTACGCAGGCCCCTTGGCCATCATTGGCCAAGGGCGCCGATCTACGGGCTGTGTATTAAGTTACGCTCCCATTTCTTTTTGTCTGCCAACTTGACGATAGTTGGGAACTTTCTTTCTCTCTCTTCCTTCCCAACACGTCAAGTTGGCATCCCGGCAATGACAACGTTGGCAACACGAACTGCTGCAACAAGTTGGCACCCCGGCAATGACAAACAACGAGTTGGCAACACGAACTACAGCAACAAGTTGGCACCCCGGCAACGACTCAGCTTCAACAACCAACAAAGATCATCCTGGCATCACTCAACATCAACAACCACCAAGCGATCATCCTGGCAACAACCCACATCAGCTTCAACCCCCAACAACGATGATCCTAGCAACTGCCAACCTCGACCATCAATGCCTGCACTAAAACTTCTGCAGTATCCAGCACTCCTGCAGCATCCGGCTCACTCCTGCAGTATCCGGCACTCCTGCAGCATCCGGCTCACTCCTGCAGCATCCGGCCCACTCCTGCAGTATCCAGCACTCCCGCAGCATCCAGCACTCTTGTAGCATTCAGCTCACTCTTACAGCTTCCAGCACCTCCACCGTTTCCAACCATCTTCATTTCCTTTTAGAATAAACCTCTATGTATCATATATATCCTCGTTCTGTCGTCCATATTGTTTCACGGTCAGATTTAACGTCTTCAAAAATGTTAGCGGGCCTCTTGTGACCTCGTTCACCCCTTTCCGTGATACGGGGCCACTGGACCGCCCGCTACATTTGCACACAGCATTTCTTTCTGTGTATATTATCAAATGTACATAAACTTATTTGAATAGAAACACAAAATACTAGTCCTAATAGTCACATAAATTGCAGAAATGTGTATTAAAATGTCCTCCTCTCCAATGGCCTTAAATATAGGAACCTTTATAAAACAAGAAATGATATTTTAAAACATCTTTATTCTTTATTTAAGCTTCAAATTTCAAAACTTACGCTCTGCTAATGTTTCTCCTGATAAAAAATTTCAAGTCAAAAAATAGCATTTTTAAAAATGACTGAATTTAAATACTTTTCAATATGATTAAACAATCTGCTATAACCTCATAATGAATTGCACTTTTTCTCCCAACATAAAATATCTTCTGCTAAAGTTCAACAAGGGTAAATTTGTAAATAAAAATAAAGATATAAAGTGTTCTCTTCAAAAACGTACAGTTCTTATTTTGTTAAACTCATTTTTTTCCATTACCTGTCACATCTTATAATATGCTTCTTTTCTGATTAGATAATATATCCTGGTAATATACAAGGGGATGTTAAAAGTCTTTGGACCAATCCATTTCCTCTAAATCAGTATTTCAATGACTTAACATCAAAATATGATTTAGAGAAGTGAACAAGCTGATAACTTTGAAACACCCCCCTCATAGAGTAAATCTCACACTTTCAATATTTCTACACTCCACTAAAACATACTGGCTCTAATTCTTTCAAGTGTATGTATAGATAGATAGATAGAGAGAGAGAGATTAATGTTTTCACTATCTATACTTTTACGACCCCACCTCTCCTTTCTCCAACCTTATTGATAGCGAAGTTAAAGAAGGATCGTAATCTGTGTTATTTTGTTTTTTAACATTTTACATTTTTTTTGTAAAATATATTTCTTTCCCAAGGGTCTCTTTCCGATTGATCAGACACGGCCAGGCGGAATAGATTAAGGAACAAATACGATAGGCGACAAACAACAATGGAGACAGGAAATATAAATTTATTAACAAACATGGAATCGTGGAAAGGTAAAAATAAAAAGAAACAACCAAAACAAAAATGACAATATGTCAAGACTAAACATTGTGGACAAAATAGTGGGAGGAGAGCGTCCTCTAAGAAAGGTAAAATAAAAATCAGTGTATGGCCTTGTGCCATACTGCTACGAATTTATAGAACATGTGCTATACCTGCACGGATTCACAAAACATCAACATTTTAAGACAATGTGGAAAGGAACATGTAATAAAATAATTTCATGGTAAATTTGCATGAAAGTACAAACATGAAAAAGAGGTACATTTAAGCAAAAACGGAGCACAAGAAAAATAACTTACTATATCTACTTCTTTTCTTTTTCCTTTTCTATTTCTTTTTATAAGGGTCTCTTTTTGAGGTCTTTTCTTACTTCCTCTCTTTCTCTTTTCGTCATCTAGGGGCTTGGCTGACGATTAAGCAGAAAATGCATTCCCTGTCTCTTTCGTCTTGGTATAACAGCATTTTCACTCAAGATGGTCTGTTCTTTCTTTCTTTTCCCTCTCATGCTTTGTTTAAGGGCTTGGTGACAGTTGAAACTGCTTTCTTTCTCTTCGATATAGCAGCGTTCCGCATACGTCGTAAAACGGGTCCATCCATTCGACTGGGAGACCAATTCTCCTCACAATTTCACAAACACATCTTTTCAGCCCATATGCCAAGACATTTGCCAGACATTCTACCAGCCCACAGGCCGAGGCCAAAACTAACTTTTCCATTTCACTATTCGTTTCTGTTTTCTTCTTGTCACGTGGTCAATTTTCAAAATACTAACTTTTTCCCATTATGGGTGGAATGAGGTCATTGACCCTCTCTCTCATCTTCAGGGTCAGAGAAAGTTTAGTTTAAAGTCTTTCAACTTCTCCCAACCGGAATCTATCCGTGTAAATCATGCTATCAACACCTTGACCAAAAGAGAAGGAAATGGTACACTCTGGTCAATCTTTGTCGCCACTAAGTCTACCTATCTCTTTGGGTTTACTATCTTTATATTTTCTGCAAGTACTGGGCTCTTTATTTTAGAATGCTTCTAAAATATAAGTAATGGTATAGTTTTTATATTAAATTTAGATCGGGGTTCGTAACAATACCACTGACTGAGATTAAGTAAAGTTCAAAGTTAACAATTTGACAAGGCTGATCTATAAAGTCTACAACCATTACTTAAGCACAAACAAGTTAAGGTTGCTTTTTCAAAAGCTGGTATATTATAAAATATTATAGTTCCCAACATTGTTTAGTGGAATTTATTAAAATTTAAGGACAATGCAGTTTTAAAGTAACTATTATTAATAAATAAATGGGTAAGCTGTAATTGTAAACTTAAGAACAAGATATAAAATTTCTGATGAGAATAAATGTTCTGCTTTCCAACCAACAAAAGCAAATATGTTATTTCCACACACCCTCATTATTATTTATCAATAGCCAATTTCGCTTTTCATTTATACAAAATATTTTTCGAGAAAAATAAAAAGTAATTTTGTTCTTTATAAAAGAGCCCATTATCTTTTATGTGCAATTCAGTATTTGTAGTTGTATGAGTGATTCCACTGATAATTAGTGACTCGACATAAAAATAATAAAACATCACAAAGTTTTGATATTGTAACTTAGAACCATTGTTTACAATGTGAGATAGCTATTCAAATGTACTGTGAACCTAAATTATACCTTTTCTTGTTTTTTTTCTCTGATTTTAAAAGTGAACAGGATTGGATCAACTGAAGCCTTGTGGAATAACCACAAAATGAAGCAGGATTCCAAATTGATTTTGAAATGATAATGACTTATCTGAACATGACAGTTTGATTACAATATTAGAAGCACCATTTGATATTTTCAACAATGATAAGCTAAGTTTTTATTATTTCTTTTTAAGGAGGCCTGAGATTCATTCATAAGGGTAATCTTTTAACAAAAAAATTAGACTAACTTTTACACTGGCCTCCAAAAGAATTTCTAATAATCTGTTTTGCTTATAGCCCTCTTAAATATATTTAACTTAAAATGCAACACAATGTTTTTTCATTTTTAATATTTAAAGCCCTTAGAAAAAATTTAAAAAACAAAACATTTTAATTAAATATTTTACATGACTTACTTTTGCCTTCTTTTCAATTGTTCAATGTATAAAAAAAAAGATACTTGGCAACAAGTGGTTAATTTCATTCAAAGATGCCCATGAAACTCATTGATCATTGTATAAACTAAACTGACAGATGAAATCTCAATCAATTGGACAGACTGGACATATCATCCAATCTGAAAACTCATCAAAGCTACTGAGAGCCAATAGTATTGTCTGAGTCAAGACTCAAGTTGTGAACAATCTGATCAATTGGGTAATTCAATTCTTACAAGCCTGTGTCAAACCATTTGGCCCAATCAACTCAAAGTTAGAAATGGGCTTATGGATATTGCAATCTTGACAAATCATAGTCGGAGCTTAACCTTCATTATTACCAGGCTTTCTTCATCAAAATAGTTTTCTTTCTTTATACCCTCTTCTCACTGTTCATTTTCTCTTTGATCATTATATCTCTCACCTTTTCCTTTTTCTCTCTCATCATGTTTTCTGCCTTTAACTCTTTTTCTCTTTTCTCTATCACTTTTTGACTCTTCTTTCCTCTCACCTGTTTCCTTCTCCTATTCATTGTATCTCTCTCTCTCTCTCTTTACATGTTGTTTACTTTCCATTATTTACTAACATTATTCTGGCACAAGGATCTAATAGTGAGGGCACACAGTTAGGATAAAACTTCCTACATTAGTGAATTGATGAAAGTGGAACACTTGTTGTTTATTGCAAAATAGTAAGCACTTTTTATTATTTTTCTTTTTTTTTTTTTTTAATTTATCTTACTCTCAGTACATTCTCAGATTTTATATGTTTTCTTTTATCTCTCTTTAACCATTACACTCAGTCTTTCTCATTCATGGTTCTTGTTAGTTCCAATCTTATGGGAATGTCTGCTAAGAACCCCACTACTAAAATTTATAGGCAAATCCTACACATACATGCTGGGATTTCTTCCTAAACAATGAAAATGGAAAATGTTCGGTTTCATCCTCCCACATTTTTTGTTCTTCCTTGCCATGAAGTCAGAACACTATAACCACTTGACTGTATCCCTTTTGTATGTGAACACAATTCTTACTTTGTGACCTTTTTGCCTTATTATTTATGCTTCACTTTGCTTACTTTTGTATTATTTTGTATTTTCCTTCCTTTATTGTTTGAGAATTTTGTTATTTCCATTTGTTGACAATTGTGTCAATTAAACTTAAACCCTAACCCAATTATTCCACAGTTTCTTTATTTCTTTTCCTAACTTTATCTCTCACACTATCTTTGGATATCTTACCTCCCCTCTTCATTATCCATCTTTCTCTTTTCCTAACTTTATCTCTCACACTATCTTTGGATATCTTACCTCCCCTCTTCATTATCCATCTTTCTCTTTTCCTAACTTTATCTCTCACACTATCTTTGGATATCTTACCTCCCTCTTCATTATCCATCTTTCTCTTTTCCTAACTTTTTATATCTCTCACACTATCTTTTGGATATCTTACCTCCCCCTCTTCATTATCCATCTTTCTCTTTTCCTAACTTTATCTCTCACACTATCTTTGGATATCTTACCTCCCCTCTTCATTATCCATCTTTCTCTTTTCCTAACTTTATCTCTCACACTATCTTTGGATATCTTACCTCCCCTTCATTATCCATCTTTCTCTTTTCCTAACTTTTATCTCTCACACTATCTTTGGATATCTTTACCTCCCCTTTCATTATCCATCTTTCTCTTTTCCTAACTTTATCTCTCACACTATCTTTGGATATCTTTACCTCCCTCTTCATTATCCATCTTTCTTTTTTTTCCTAACTTTATCTTACTCATTATCACTATCTTTGGATATCTTTACCTCCCCTCTTCATTATCCATCTTTCTCTTTTCCTAACTTTATCTCTCACACTATCTTTGATATCTTTACCTCCCCTCTTCATTATCCATCTTTCTCTTTTCCTAACTTTTATCTCTCACACTATCTTTGGATATCTTACCTCCCCTCTTCATTATCCATCTTTCTCTTTCCTAACTTTATCTCTCACACTATCTTTGGATATCTTACCTCCCTCTTCATTATCCATCTTTCTCTTTTCCTAACTTTATCTCTCACACTATCTTTGGATATCTTACCTCCCCTCTTCATTATCCATCTTTCTCTTTTCCTAACTTTATCTCTCACACTATCTTTGGATATCTTACCTCCCCTCTTCATTATCCATCTTTCTTTTTCCTAACTTTATCTCTCACACTATCTTTGGATATCTTACCTCCCCTCTTCATTATCCATCTTTCTCTTTTCCTAACTTTATCTCTCACACTATCTTTGGATATCTTACCTCCCCTCTTCATTATCCATCTTTCTCTTTTCCTAACTTTATCTCTCACACTATCTTTGGATATCTTACCTCCCCTCTTCATTATCCATCTTTCTCTTTTCCTTTTTATCTCTCACACTATCTTTGGATATCTTACCTCCCCTCTTCATTATCCATCTTTCTCTTTTCCTTTTTATCTCTCACACTATCTTTGGATATCTTACCTCCCCTCTTCATTATCCATCTTTCTCTTTTCCTTTTTATCTCTCACACTATCTTTGGATATCTTACCTCCCCTCTTCATTATCCATCTTTCTCTTTTCCTTTTTATCTCTCACACTATCTTTGGATATCTTACCTCCCCTCTTCATTATCCATCTTTCTCTTTTCCTTTTTATCTCTCATATTTTCCTTCCAGAACGCTTATATCCAGTATCAGTAGAAATGAGCAAATTAAATCCACAAATCATAAACTGCAGAAAAAGCTTTTCTACCCCATTCCATAAACATCCTATAGCATTCTACATAAAATCCTATTTGAATTTTTGAGAGAACTCTGTTGGTCAACAACTTCTCCTTGGTCTTTTGAACAGGAGGAAATGTTTATCACTTGTTTCCTGTCTAGGATTGAGTTTCCGGTTCCTTCTAAATTTTTCTCATTCTCTTTCACTCCCAGTAGCCACTTGTGCCTTAGTGGCATTATTGCCTAGCTTGGGGTGAATTGATTAAAAAAGAAGTTATATAAAGTATTCAAGTGTTTTGTTAAAACATTCTTCAAAATTATCCTTTCAATTGTTGGTACTGTGTATAGCAGTCATAAAAAGTACAATATCGTATTTCCATATTTTCTTTCACCTCACCAAAATCTGACTTCTGTTCCTACTTTAATGATGTTTGTCTATCAATGCCAGGTCTGTACTAAAATGGTAAAGCTTATTGTTATTTAGCTCACAGACTACAAAAAGATAAATTAGTCTAGTAAGAGGGAACAGTACTGTCAATTATCAGTGATTTCAAGACAGTAAAAAGCTCTCAGTCGAACAACTTTGTATTCAATCTCAGTTCATTAACCAAGTAGAAATTCTGCATATCTATTGTACAATAACCTTATCATGTAAAGATAAAAATTAAAAAGTCACTGATATTTTAGGTTTTGATCCTTTAACAAAATATTTTCTATACAATATCATCAAACAGTACAAGAAATTGTGAATATATTGTTCAACTGTTTGACAGAGGTCTATCAGCTTATACAGAAACATTATATTGCAGTAAACAATATGAATTGGTATTTACCAGACATGTAAAAACTAATTCTTGTTAGCAATTTGACAAAGGATTGTATTCATGCCTGCACCGAAATACTTAAATTTCTTTTTAATCAACAAAATAATCCTTAGAAATTAACAGAATTTATATATATATTCACTGCTTTTATTCTTTTTTTTCCCCATTTAAGCTAAGCATAAAATGTAAATAAAATAAAATTAATGCAAACAAAGTATGTACAAAACATGTCCATTTTAAAACGTATTCAACTATATACTGTTTTTTAATCCACTGATTTTCTGTACACACACTACTGACATATCTGAAGTTCAATCTGGGATATTTTCAATATTCTGTTGAATTCTATGGAAAAATTTATACATCAAAATGTATCAAACATTTTTATATTTTGGTCAATCTTAAATTGTAATATTTTTATATAATTGATGTAACTGAATTCAATTGATAAATTTTAATAAAAAGTGAAGTTTTCTTTTTTTTTAAAATATTTTACATATTAATAAATTTTGAGCTCAAACTATTTAAAAATATTAATTCAGTAACTGAGTAAATAATTTTATAATAGGTTTTATAGAGAAAAAAAATTATTTTTAATTTGCAAAATAAATGTCAATCAAAAATATCTTTACCATTTTTGTTCTCTGTATGGTTAAATCAAAACTTAACAACAATTTAAAATAATGATTCTAAGAACAAAACAAGTTTATTTGATAGAATTATGAATGTAATTTAATGTTATAAATGGCAGTTAAGATTTGGACTATTTATCCTGGTACTGTACTAAATCCATTCATTTACTGAAGTGCAACATGAAAACTGGTCGTTTTAAGCAATTCATACATTCATCTAAAAGGAATACCTTATAGACTTTTCAGATTCCTCATCAGTAAAAGGTGAGGCACTGATCAAATCAAACAACTGCGTTTCTTAGTGAATGAAAATCAAATCAGTTGTAAAAACAAAAAAAAAAAAAACAAATGAACATATAGTAGAATAAAAAGAAAATGGCAAGAGTAAATCTATTTTTGATGTGCTAGGAAAGAACAATGGTAAAGAAATAAAAAAAAATCATCTGTGACCAATAATCATCTCAAATGCAAAAACAAGAAAAAATTCTTGAAAACATCATTTATGTTGGGAATGTAACCAAAGCTTCATTTCATGGTGATTCATTAAGTCTGAAATATGACAATTATCACATTGTAAAAGCAGCAAGAGAGTGAAAAAAATGTAAATCAGGAAAGAAAATCATTATCTAGACTGATGAGATTTTGGTATTAGAGTAGAGGGTATCATCATCATCATCCTTTAAGTGGAAATATTATTCTTTCTTTTCTCTTCTTTAACCAAAAGTTAATTGATTCTTGGAATTGTCATGTTGTATAAACAAATCTTTTGAAACCTCATAACAAAATTAATGATACTTTTCATCTAACAAGAACAATGAACACACTAGTGCATGATTTATAACTTACTTTGCATTCAATTACTGTAGAAAACTAAGGACTGAGGATTTACTAAAATAAAAAAATGACAATTGCAAGAAATGAAAACCTTCCTAAGATATAATGGAAAATTTCATGAAATTTGAACAAAAACATAAATAAATAATTCAGAGAAACCAGAAGAATAAGGAAATGTCATAAATTAAAATAATTTTAGACTTAAAAATTAACATTTATATTTCAATATTAAAGCATTACTGATCAGGATCCAGACATGAACAAAAAAAATATCAAATTTACCTGGTGGTTTTAAGTTAACATTATCTTTAATTACAATGCGTTTGGTTGAAATCATTGGTTTGTGAAGTTGATGACATTGGGAGTTCAATCCCTCAGCTGGGAAGTGCAGACTTAGAAACAGCATCTTACTTATTATAAAACGCAGATTGTGTGTGTGTGTGTGTGTGTGTGTGTGTGTGTAACGTTTATATATTGGATCGGATTTCCTACATTTTTCAACCGATTTCAACAAAACTTCACAGGACTACATAAAATTACCTTTTGGTGGTTCTAACAGCGCCAAAAATGGGAAAAATATAAGTGTTTTTACACAAAATCAATTTGAAAACACGATTAAGAGACATCGTGAAAATGGAAGGGGGACAACTCACATCGGGTTGTTTGTGTGTGTGGGTTCCTTTAAATATGGGATCGGATTTCCTATATTTTTCAGCCGATAAAACAAAACTTCACTTTTTTTTTTTGGCAGGTAGTGTTTCTTATTCTCTTGCACACTTTTTTCTTTATTTTTAATATTCAGAATGCTTTAAAAATTCCATTTGCAAGACAATTATTTATAATAAAATTCTATTCAATTGGGAGTCTCATAATGATTGAAAACAATGTTTTTGTTTGAGTTTGACCAATTCGTAAAGAATAAAAAAAAAAAAAACTAATTAAGACATGCATGTCCGTCAACCTTAAACAATAATCTAACGATCTCTACTGATTGTACAAATACAAACATCGGATAAATTCTTTATCTTTAGGGAAAGATAATGAAATCTAAACATACACAAGTCCTAACTAAAAATAATAACCGGAAACTACTTTAAATACACATGGTCCAATTTTTTTACTGTATTCAATAAGTAAAAATCATAAATTGTAAAAGATTATTATTACAGAAAGGCTACTATATGAATAAGATTTGTTAGATCATAATTAATAAACCCAAATAAAGTTAATATTTTTTGTATTAGAAACAATGAGTGGAAAATATATTCAAGTCAGAATTCTAATTATGAATTACCACAAGCAAAAAATATGCAATTTTTTTTTACTCTATTCAATAAGTAAAAATCATAAATTGTAAAACTAAAAGATTACAGAAAGGCTACCTACATTTTTCAACAGATTTCAACAAAACTTCACTTTTTTTTGTGGCATGTAGTGTTGTCTTGCACACTTTTTTTCTTTATTTTTACATTCAGAATGCTTTAAAAATTCCATTTACAAGACAATTGTTTATAATAAAATTCTATTCAATCGGTAGAGACTCATAACGATTGAAAACAATGTTTTTGTTTGAGTTTGGATTGATCAATTCGTAAAAAAAAAAAAAACTAATTAAGACATGCATGTCCGTCAACCTTAAACAATAATCTTTGTCAATTTTATTTTTCAATCTTTAT